CCACTACCTTAGAGTGCCCTCCGCGGCCCACAGGCCCCCCACATTGCCATTCCTCAGGGAGGAGGCCAGGCTGAGATTCAAGTTCAGTTGAGCACCTGTTACATGAGCCTGTGGTCCTGTGTTCTTTGTAACTTGTTCAGTCCTCACAGAGACCTGACAACAAGGGTATTAGTATGTCCCTGAGGGGAAACCTCAAAGTGGAACGATGATTGCCCACAGTCAAACAGCTAATAATCGGTGGGGGAAGGATTCCAACCCTGGTGCTTCTGACTCCAAAGCCGTCCCTCCTCCCACTGCACTGGAGTTATCAGAAGTTGTGTTCCAAGAAACCCCAGTCCCTTCATATACGCTGCTAAAACTGCCCATTTTACCTCCCTCCCTGGTAGGGATCGACAAGGCACACTAGGACATTAAAGGCTCTGAAAAGTCCTGCAGAGAAGATGACTGTCCCACTCATCAGCGCCTGACTTTAGTTGATCGAGGAAAGTATGACAGTGGTTGTGTGTGGGAAACCAAATAACACATGTGGAGACTCACTGCCCACTCATTCTGCACTGCTATGGAAAGTTTAACAACTGTGTGTTTGAGAATATTTTTGAATGTGTTCGTGGGAAACAGCTCAGGCTGGTGTTGCAACCTTACCTTTAAAGAAAATGTAATTCACCAGAGCAAAAACTGTGTCTTTGTCAAGATCTTGGACCAAATCCACAATTTTCCCTTGGGTTCCCTTCTCTACATAATCATTGATCTGTTTCTTGGCCGCTTCAGTGTCCCTGAAGTTGGTAGAGGAGGCTTCTGAGTGGTACAGGTTCTTGATATCCTCCAAAAACTTATCCAGTAGCTTCATACCCTCAGTAATGAAGAGACGATTGCCAGTGGTCAGCTGCAGCTGGTTGTCTGGGTGGTTAAGGGTGCGGAGGAGTTGCTGGAAGGCTTCGTGGACCTCACTCTCTGCTCTCTCAGTGAGGTTGAAACCGAGGCCCTCCATGATCTGGCCATGAGTGTCACCCTTGGCCCCCAGAGAGAGCATGGCGAAGGCTGTAGTGATGCCCACGGGGGAGAAGAAGATGTTGGTGGTGTTGGACTCACGAGCCACCTGGCGGTACATACTGAAGGCGAAGTCAGCCAGGTTTGGGGCAATCTTGTGGCAGGCTGGCTCCTGGTGGTGCTCATGATCGTGCTGGGATGCAACTGCGTCCTGGACAGCGTCTCCCTGGAGACGCTCAGCCAGGGAGTGGGGGCCCAGGCAGCACAGACCTGCCAGCAGGAGGAGGCCCCAGGTGATGGAGGATGGCATTGTCCTGCAAGAGAGAGAGGAGGGGCACCACGCCCGAGTCAGGCCACACGGTGAGTCCCCCGGCCACTGACTGACCCCAGGTGGAGCGTCCAGAGTTTACTAAACCTCTACTATGTGCCGGTGCTGGGCCAAGCACTCTCCTACGTCCTCATCACGCAAGGACAGAACAGTAGCAGAGACTTTACAGGGCTCACCACGTGCCGAGTCCCATTCTAGGCACTTGGCTGTCTCAGCTTATTGTCCTCTCGTGATGACCTGTGACCTAGGGCACAGGACCGTTGCCCATCCACAGAGGAGGAGACCGAAGGCCAGAGAGGTTGAAGCCACCTGCCCAAGGCCACAGAGCAGGAAAGTAGCAGGAGCAGAATCACAGACCCAGGCCGTCTGGGTGGGAGTCCATGCTCTTGATGGCTGCCTACCTCCTGCAGTGGCCCTGTGTGCAGGTGTCACAGATCCTGTCTCACATACGGGGGAACTGAGGCACAAGGAGCATGAGAGACTTGTGCACAACTGCCCAGGAATCGGGCCAGATCAGGCTCAGGTATGACTGAATGAAGAATGGGAACATTTCCACTAGCTCCTTTTATTTAATGGACAGGAAGCTGCTGCCCAGAGAGGGTAAGAGTCTGCCCAGTGACACACAGCCAGAACGCATGGAGCTGCAGGGCTGTCCCCACTCACCATTCATGGTGAGCCTCAGCCCCCAGCAACTCTGCCTGAGCTGAAGGGCAGCCCCACATGCGTCTGTGGCCTCAGCCACACGAATGGGGTGCAGTCCCTGCGGTCAGCTTACCTGCCCATTGTCGTCACCACCTCTGTCCCGGCTCTGGGCCTGGCAGTGATGCGGGCTGTAGAGATACTGATTTCTCCAGCAAGTTAGGGGGTGTGTACTTGTGTGTGGGGTGGGGTATAGGACTTCAAAAAACATCCCTTTTTCAGACAGCCCTGAGTTCTAATGTGGGCTCTGTCACGGCCAGCCATATGACCCAGGACAGGCCACTCGCTCTCCCTGGTTCTCATTCTACCTCATATAGAAAGTGGGGGTATTGGGAGAATTTTGTGAAATAAGTCCATGCATCAGACCTTACACTGACAGGTTCTAGAAGCTGCGAGGGGTTGCAAATCAGAAGCCTTCGGAGGGCAGGCAGGGGAGGGACATGTGTTCTGTGGCTCCCAGATGTGCCCCCGCCTCAGGGCCACCAGTCTGCACCCCCTGAGTACAACCTGGTGGGGAAACTGAGGTCCAAGCTGAGGAGAGTGTGTCTGCGGCCACATGGCTAGCTATTTCTCATGGGACTAACTCATCGTTTTAGTAAAACACAAAGACAAAGGAATCTTTGAATTTGGAATTTGAAAACCTGGGGGGGAAGAAGCTGGAAATGAGGAAGTCTATCCTCACAGACTTTTTATAAAAGTTTCTTTCGAATCAAACAACAAAATGGGGCGCCTGGGTGGCTCAGTTGGTTAAGCGACTGCCTTCGGCTCAGGTCATGATCCTGGAGTCCCGGGATCGAGTCCCACATCAGGCTCCCTGCTCGGCGGGGAGTCTGCTTCTCCCTCTGACCCTCTTCCCTCTCGTGCTCTCTATCTCTCATTCTCTTTCTCTCAAATAAATAAATAAAATCTTTAAAAAAAACAAAAAACAAAAAACAAAATGAAGCACAGCCCTGGTTTCTCTTCACCACCCTTTTTCTGGCCTTGGTGCCTCTAAGTAATCCAAACCTGACGGACTGCACGCTACGTGATACGTGTTTATGTTTTTCCTAAAGTAATCAGCCAGTGTTGGCACTGGCTCTGCAGACGTCCATCTCCCTCGGCTCTTCCTCGCTTCCCCACCGGGGTTTGGCGCGGGTCTTCATGGTTTGCAGAGACCCCTCGTCTTTGCAGGGCTCAGAGATCATGAGGAACTTGGGTCTCTGCAGGGTGGGGACACTAAATATCGAAGGGACCTCAAAGGCTGTGGCGTCCAGCCCTGATGGGACCACTAGCATCCCCTCGGCCTTGGGCACGCAAGTCCCCAGCTGCTGAAGTTGAGGTGGGGGAAGACCTAAACGAGTTTCCCCTGGACTAACGTTGGATTCTCAGAAGGTATTTGGGTTTGGTGGAGCAAAATGGACTGAGACTTCCTGTTGGGGGTGGGTGGGGTGCCCTCTCCCTCCAAGGGCTGCTGGCCTGGGCTGAGCTGGGGAGGGGCCACAGCGGTGGTGAACACATCCATCTCAGTGGGTGTCACATCACCTTTCCTGGCTCCTTTTTATAGTGAAAGGTCTGAGATCCAGAGAGGGTCAGGGCCTTGTCAAGGCCACATAGCAAACCAGTGACAAAGCTGGAAAGAGTCTTGGTTTTCCCGCCACTTGAACTGCAGACTGAGACAACTATGTCCTCTGGTCTTGGGCTCTGTGAATGCCAGAACGGGGCCCCGAGGGACCCTCGCATTGGGCTTGGGCCTCCTGTCGGCTTCCTTTTGTCTCTCAAGTATTCTTGCCAACTTCAGGGACCCCAGACTTCTGCTTTCTCCATGCCCTGCTATCAAAGGCCGTACCCTGCATCCCCCAAAGACTAATGCTGGGGAAGGCAACGGGAGTAGATAAAGTAGATAGTGAAGCACCCAGAGGTGTATAGACAGATCAAGCTTTAAACCAAAAGAATGAAGTCGTCACAGTGACGTTCCTGGCGTCCAGGGCTGGTGCGAGCTGTGTGCCAGGTGGGGGCGCAGGAAGTGAGCCCTCCCTTTACCTTTACCTCTATTTCCACCCATGAGCATAAAATGAATGATCAGGGGTGACCCAGGGAGGTCCAGGAAAGCCACTGGGGCATCAACGACCTGCTAAACCCTGACACTGGAAAAGCCCACGTGCGACCCAGCCCTGCTGAGTTTGGGCAAGTAGCCCCGGGGAGGTGCACTCTTTTGAGCCATGGCTTCCTGTCTGTGGAGAAAAGAATCCCTCACCAGGCAGATGTGAGGGACGAACAAGGCAGTGGGTGGGCGGGCGAGCACCTGCCAGGTGTGGAAGCTCTCCCCGTACCTGCGCACAGGTAAGGCGCACATGTAAAAAACCGGCAGATTTCTTCCTGGCCAGTTGCCACATTGCCCAGGACCAGAGATGTGGCCCCTTCTGGGCCGGGAACTGCCTCTGAGTTTGGAAAATTTTAAATTCAATTCTCTGAGTATTTATGTATTGCCTCCTAGCTGCCAAAGCCCGTGTCGAATGAACACCAGCACCAGCATCAGCATCCTGGTGGTCACACCCAGTAAACAGCAGGTGTTTTACGCGCACTGTCTCACCTAATGTCCCCCCAACGCTTACCCTGTGGAGTGGGAATGATTATTAGCCCCATTTTATAGATGGAGAAATTGAGGCCTCCAGAGGTTGAGCAACTTACTGAAAACCACAGACCTGGTTGCTTATGAATCTGGGATTTAATGCCTGGCATTTTGATTCTGGGACTCGGCATTCAATCCTTCTCTGTTTACAAAGCTAAAGCCAGAGACCTTGCAACAGAAAAATGCTTGGATGTGATCAGGCTAAATGAAGAGGGCATCGCGTGTGCCTCTGGCCAGTGGCTCTGAGGCCATGATGCCTGAGTTCAATTCCATAGCAGCTGTGTGACCTTGGACAGATTAATTAACCTCTCTGAAACTCCGTGTCCTGGAGATGACAAGGGTGCACTTCCCACAGAGCTATTGTGCAAATTAAATATGTACAAAGTGCCAAGAAATGCTTGACACAAAGTCAGCTGTCAGGGAGGCTTAGCTGTTATCGATATAGTTATGGATCTTTTGGAGCACTGCATGGGAGTCTGGTGGCCTTGGCCTTGGTCATCTTTGTAGCCCCCATCTCCAAGAACTGATGACAGAAAAATTTTATCCTTCCCATTCTCCAGAGATCAAGGGTGCGGTGAGAGCAAAGAGGGCAGAGGTTGTCTACAGTTTGTCCAAGAGGCCAGAGAGGTTGAGCAGGGGCCCAGGGCCACCCCACATCAAACAGGCCTCGAGGCTAGCCCACCTGGGTTTCTCCCATTCCCCAGCTGGGTCCTAAGACCCAAGAGAATTATGTTGGTGGGAGGTAGAGGTTTGGGAGGGTGAGTTCTGGATCTAGGTGGCCCCCGTTGGAATCCTGGATAGTGTGTAATTTGGGGCAAGTTATGAGCTTCCCTGTTCCTGATTTCCTTATCTGTAAAATGGGAATCATCTCAGTGACCACCTCGGAAGATTGCTCTAAGGCTCAAATGGCTGGCCGCATGCGAGGAGCTCAGCAGCCGGCTGGCTAGAGCGAGGGCTCAGGAGCACAGCGGAAAGCCCGAGCCGGGGCCCCCTCCGTGGTTTCCCATCTTCCACCGTGCACGACGGCACACACAGACCCGCTGAGCACAGGGGGTCCAGCATGGTTCTGTTCTGGGCGTTTCTGCAGAGGACGGAGACCCCATGAGTGGCTGGAACTCTGTGCTCTGGTCCCGTCTGGCTTCCCCACAAGGTCTCTATGGGAGCCTGGGCTCTCCACGGTCCCTCTCTGGGCCTTACCTTTCTCACCCACAGAAGGGGAAGCCCGGGGAAGGTGGTGAGGCCGGCAGGGGACAAACAGGAGGGACATAGGAGTTGTGCCCACAGAGGTGTGCTCCTTCCTGGGGTCGCCACTTCCCCGCGGCTCCTCGAGGGCCAGTGTGTCCACCAGTAGATACTGGTGGACACACTGGAGGCCCCGGGGCAGGCTTGGGAGAGGAGAGGGACCTCTGGGGCTGCTGTTGCCATGATGACAGGGGCTCCAGCCCCAGCCTGTTCCATCCTCCCTGCATCCCCGGGGCCTGCTTGGCAGCACGGGGGCCTCCAGAGGCTCTCCCCAGTGGAAGGCATACTTACAGTTACTGTCCCAGGCCGGGGCTGGTGACCAAGGCTGAGGAGACAGAGCCTTGTCTCTGGCTCCTATTTAAGCCGTGGACCCACAGGGATGACGGGGGAGGTTGCTGGTGAATATTAACTAAGGTCACCCCAGTTATCGGAGGAGCAAACGGGGTCTAAGTCCAGAGGCCACCGCTGAGCTGTCCACCCGCGCCACCCGTGTGTGCCCTGCCCAGGCAGCCCACGGCCCTCTGTCCCGTCTACCAAAGGCAGTCATTGTACCCAGCTCATAAACCGTGGCGTCCTGCCTCCATGGAGAGGTGGCATGACTCAGGCACTCTTGGGGACAGCATTCCTTTGGGGGCCTGCCCTCCCACTGGGGAATTCTCACTGGCTGCCCCAGCAAGAGCTACTATTTACCCAGGCCCCTTGAGATGTCTCCTGCTGGAGATGCGCTGGAGGAGGCGGGGAAGTGAAACGCGCCTTTGGCAGAGGAGGCAGCAGAGGTCCAGGGTGGAGAGGCTGCTCATTCGTAGTCACCAAGCTAGCCCCAGATACGAGCTCTGTCGATTTTCCCGAGGAGGAACATGGGCCATAACCGATGCTGACACAGCCGCTTTGGGCTGGCACGGGCGGCCCAGGGCACAGACCAGCGGTCAGATGGTAAATACATAAAGCAGGGTTGTGCTCCCTCAGGCAAGCTGCTTCACCTCTCTGAACCAGGGGGTGGTTTTGTCTGCATCAGAGGGGTTTGGAAGTCCCGCCCCCTAGCACGGTTGTCAGGCTTGTGCACAATAACTTCTGTAAAGTGCCTGGCACACAGTGGGCTCTTTATCTGGGTCTGCTCAGCCCGGCTCTCCGGGCTTCTCTGGGCAGGACGAGGCTGAATTCTTGGCCAGCCTCAGCCTGTTACTGTTTCCACTGGGTGTGGCTCCCAGCAGAGGAATACGATCCACATATGCTTGAATTTTCCTGGGAATGAGGCCCTGTTCTGGAGCTACTGCAGGCCCCCAGGGCACTAGCAGTGGGAGAGGTGGTAGTACAGGGTTGAGGTTGATTGGGCCTTGCTTGACTGTGATCGCTTTAAAAACTGAAGGCAGACCACATCCCTCTCTGTGCGCTCTGATGGCTGCCTGGCACATGGCAGGCTCTCTATGGGTATTTGATGGAGCGGCAGAGGGCATTTTTGTCCCTTCTCTCATTCCCCCGGTCCCAAATGTGGGACTGTGCCAGGTGAACGGCCCGCAGCTTCCTTTGCTACACATAGGTTCAGACCTGAGAACCCAGCTCCCCTATTCAGTGACTGTGAGATCTCAGACAAGCTGTTTCACTTCCCTGTGCCTCAGTTTCCCCACCTGTAAAATGAGGATCACAACGGTACCCACCTCATTGGGCTGCTGTGAGGATTCAGTGCAGCGGTTCTGGGTTAGTTCAGAGCCCGGTGCTGGGTGTGCACAGCGAGCCCTTAATGATGGGGCCCCATCTGTGCCAGTGGGTCTCCCTGGTGTCACTGCGGCAGAGGGGAGGCTTCCGGGAATGCCCCCCAGGCTTCTCTCATTCAGTGCTCTCAGTGACTCTGGGAGGGGAGTTCATGCCACCTGCCAGACAGGAGCAGGAACGAGCTCAGAGAGGGGAGGATTCCCCACTCCCATCCTGATCCCAGTTCCACCATCGGGCTTCAGGCTCTTTCCCTCAGCTGGCTGGATGGGCTTCTCCCCACTGGGGCCCTCCATCCCCTCACAGCTCAGAGAGGTGAGTGTTGACTGAAGTGGGGCCTGACCTCCATACCTCCCGGGCATCTCTTCCTTGCCCCATGTCTCAGTTTCTCCATCTGTACAATGGCCTCCCTCCAAACCCAGATGCCCCTCCCACCTCCCTGCAGTAGATGGGCAATGCCAAGTGCCCCACCTTCCACTCCGTTGCCAAGCTTGGCTCCCTCAGCCCGGTGGCCTCGGGGCTGGTGGGAAGGCACTGCCTTACACCCCCTCTACCTCCAATCCTTGAGCTGCGGTGCCTTCCACACCTCCTGTGGCAGCCTGCCTTTTCCTCCTCCTTCTCCTGCTCTGGCACTCTATATGCACCTGGGCAGTGCACTGTCTCTGCCAGCCTGGGAGGAAGGAGGCTCTGGGTGTCAGAGGCAGCACGTCCGGGAGGGGCGGGGAACTGGGACAGGAAGCCGCCTTGCACAAAGCTGTGGGTAGCCAGGCGGGTGCAGCTGGCCCTCCCTGGCCCAGGCAGTCCTGCTTGTCACCTGCTCTTCTAGCTGTGTCCAGCCTGTGTGACCCCAACGAGTCAACCTGTCCCTCTGAGCTTCTGTAAGAGGGAGGGTCGCACTGGGCTCAGGGCGTTTGTGGAGATAGCAGGTGTCACCCTCCTGGCCTAGGGACTGGCACCAGCATCTTGGCAGCTTTCCAGGGCCAGCCGTAGAGGGAAAGACCGAGCCACCTGAGAAATGCCCAGCTGGAGCCCCACGGAAGCTGGGAAGGGTCTGTGGGTATGGGAGAGGTGTGTGTCATGGACGTTGGCTGGGTACAAAATGGATGCAAGACGTCCCAGCAGGGACTGGGACATTTGGAGGGGAGCACGTGAGGGGCTCCGGGGCCCTGTGCCATCTGAGTCAAGGTTCCATGCTCAGCCCTTCCTTATCTCCCGATCCGCATGCTCCAGGGTCCCTACTCCCCTGGGGCTTCCTGCTGCGGAGAGCTCCTCTGGACACATATCTTAGGAAGAAGGGGTGGGATGATCCGGGAAACCGAGCAAGGACAGAATCCTGGCTGGCGGTGGAGGAGGGCACCCAGGGACCATTCTCAGTGACAGTGTTCCTTGAACCAGGAGCCATGGTGGAGAACGTCTTGTCCACTCAGTGACTTCTGGAATTGTCGAAAGTAGCCTCTAGGCGGATTCCCTGGGAGTGAATGCATCCTAGGAAGATGCTGTGGGCTGGTTTAAGTAAGAAGCTTCTGGGGACACCCTACCCTTCCTGGGGCCCTGGGCCAAGTCAGGAGGGTGGAGGTACACTTCAGAGGCCCCACAGCCACAGAGCGTGGGGACCAGCCTGTATGTGCTGCCCCATTCAACACACAGGTGCACCAGGCTCTCAGCGCGCACTCCCACTCGGGTCCTGCTGTGCTCACTCTGGGGTCCCTCCCCCACAGGCACTGGCTCTCTTCTTCATTGTAGGGCCGTGGTTAAGGCATGGGCTCAGGAGCCAAACATCTGGTTCAAGCCTGAACTCCACCCCTGTCCTTCGTGAGAGCTTCACCACGTCCCTCCCTGTGCATCAGTTCCCTCATCCGTAATACGCAAGATAAGATATATCCCTTGTACCAGGACTGGGAAGGGTGAACGAGATGATTTCATGTAAGACTCGAGGCAGCCTCGGCCCAGGTGGGCCCTAAGTCGATGCCAATTACCATGAGATATTTGGGGATGTGTCTTGGGCCCGGGAACCCATTCAGACGCTTTCCCGGGGTCTGAGCAGGAGAAAGATGGGGGGAACGGTGCTCTTTGTCCAGGCACACTTCTTTGCATTCAAGCTTCAGCTGATCCCAAAAGGCCTCACTCCCCTCTGCTGGGCTCTGAGCTCATTTTGCTTCCTAGAGGCACAGGGTTAGGAACAGAGGACCAAGTTGGGTGTGGGGTGGTTTGTAGCCCTGTCAACTTGGTGGCTGATCTCAGAGCCTTGGTTTCCTCATCTGTGAAATGGGGATAATAAGAGTCTTTTTCTCATTATAGTTGTTGTGAGGCTCAAATGAGTGGATGCTTGTGGGGGTATTCTACCCCAGGCCTGCTCCGTGAGCATAATCGACAACTGTGTCTGCCTTGTCATAGCCTGTTCACATTAGGAGGGTTAGTCGGATGCTCCCGGGCTTCCTCCCAGGGTGTGAATTAAGTTTGCACCGTGAATTTGCTTCCTGTTGGCATCTTGCAAATCATCCATCTTGCAACAGCCGACCGGACCCTCTTCCTTCCTGTACGTGACCTCTGGGCCTGCTTCCTGTGTGTGGTTTAGGTCTGACTTTTTCTGGAAATGTTTGGCTTATGGCTTCTTGTTTTCACTTTTCATCCTTACTCAGAAGAAAAGAAGGCAAATCTATGCGTTGTAAGTGACAATGGAGTTAATAGAAGGAAGGAAGCACACATCTATAGCTTTATCCCCTACGTGTTAAAATTAATAAAACCATTATTTGTATTATCACTAACCTTTTCTACACTTTATTTTAAATTTATTGAATTTATAGGCCATTATGTTCATTATGGCCTTTCAGCTTTTAGGAGACTCAGCTTGTCCTATTTAACTACAGTGGTATTTCCTTTAGGATGGTCTGGTCACCACATTTTGGCCAATGGGAGCTTCTCAAAGTTCTCTTTTCTCCTTTTAGCAATGCTTGCCAATCTCCAGAAAGCACGCACTTGTATTCGAGCAACGAGCCCCTGTTCCAGCTCCACCCTCATCTTCTCTTGCCTCTAGGCACCATGGCAGCAAAACCCTCCCTGGGAGAGGAAGGGAGCTGGCGTGGCAAGGGTCCTCTCAGGAACACCCAGTGAGCACCGGCTGTGCAGGACTCACCCCTGCACGGGGCCGAGGGAGACCCCGAAGGACTTTGGGACTTGTTTTTCAGAAATACGAGCCCTGCGTGGGTGGCTCAGATACGGAGGGCATTAGGGATCTTTGAACTTGCCCAACTCCGACCTTGGGTTGAAATGGTTCGATTCACCTTGTTGTCTTCTTTCCTGTTGACTTTCAGCCTTTCTGTTTGCTCGATCTTAACGAGTCTTTTGCAGCTCTCCTTTGGTGATACAAACCCCCGAACCGGCTCCAGTGTGGGGCCTGTCACCACGTGCACTGTGCCCGATGCTTCTCAAGTGCTTCCTATCTGCTGGGCTCTGTTTGAATCCCGTGCGGTGGGTAGCATTACTACCCCCTTAGTACAGACAAGGAATCTGAGGCACAGAGAATCACCCGGATGCTGACGGTGTGGCCAGTCCACCTCCTTTTCCCTGCCCCATCCCTCCCTTCCTTCCTCTCTCTGTAGTCATCATATGGGGTCATCTCCCTTAGTTCTCCCCATCTATGAATGGATCTATCATCTGTTCATTCACTCACGAAACGTCCTGTATTGACCGCCTCCTGGCTCAGAGTTTGCAAAGGTGGAAGGTGTGCTCCCCACTGTCCAGAAACTTGCACCCTGGTGGGGGCTGAGCCTGGGGACCACAGAGCCCCTTTCGGATGTCCCTGTGAGGGGGGATAAGGCAGAGGGATAGAGAGGAGGGCTGGGTTCAGGAGATAAGCAGAAGGCAGGAGCCACAGACAAGGGTTGACATCGGGGGTAAGCGCCAGGAAGGCGCCGGGCTGCCCCCAGGGCCTCCCGCAGCTGCGCTGGGATCCATACCTCCTGACTTTCTCTTCAGTTCTCTTTCTGGCAACTGCTTCACCACCTTAGATGTAGTCTCCCCATCCCCCAGGGACAGGAAGGACCAAAGACTCCCAGGGCAGGTCCACAGCCAGCAGGTGGGACCCTGGGACACGGCGCTTGATGGCAGCTTTCGTACCTGCCTCTCCTTCTGCCCCACTTCAGCCCTGGGGCTCAGCTCCCCATCACCTGCCCCAGCAGCCCCTCCCCTGCCCGGGTACTAGTCAGGCGGCTGATACCCAGCGTCCCCAGAGGCCTGGCTTCTCCTGAAGTCCT